TTTACCCCGAATCCGCCACCTTCTTCTCATCTCCTACACTACCAAATCTGACACCCTTGTTGGACAAGATCCCGTAAGACCTAGACCCATGCTGGCTTTCTGGTCATACTCCCACCTGTTCCTTCTCATATGTACTGCCAAGACCCAGCAAACCGACAGCCCTCCACGCGCTCTGGGTCTCACCTCACCACTTCCACCTCACTCAGTCGTTGTTTATAGATGGGTCTTGTCTTCCTCCACTTGGTCCCGTGCCTCTGGGTGGCAGGGACTGTGTCCACCCCACCTGTGTATCTGAGACCCCTGGGACAGATAAGTGCTTGGGAAATGGCTCAGGAATGAATAAATTATTGAAAGGATGCTTAACTAGAGATGGAAATTATTTCCCTGAGAGAATTCAAGTACTTTCTCTGAAACTAGAATTTGACCTTGCTGTATCTACCTTCCTATTTTGTTAATTTCCAGGCATATAGACAGCTTATACAGAAGAAGAAAAGCCTGTGGTTTGATTTAAATCACATTATCACAAGAACTATATAGTGAACTAAGCATAGAGCGTGTAGTGAGACAGTCCTGAGTATAAATTCTGATTCCACTATCGATTTGCGATGTTGGGCAAGTATTCAAGTTCTCTGGGCCTCAGGTTCCTCGTCTGTGAAACGGGACTAGCTACCTCACAGAACTCTTACGGGAAACAAATGAGACAGTATAGGTAAGTTGCTCGGCGCATTGTTTAACATGCAGTAGGCGTCTGATAAACAGTGGTGATTTTTAACGCTAGGCTTTCCAGGCAAGACAGAGATAGGTGGCTTTTCACAAGAGGTTTAATGAAAAAGAATTCCATTTTATTTTTAAAACAATAATAGATAAAACATTCCAGTATTCTTCCCCCTATTTTAATGAATCAAAGATACACCAAACTCAATTAAAAAAAAATTACCCCAAAGGACTAGTAAACCTGATTTATATTTTCTTTACCAGCCACTTTTATTTCATAAGCCCAACATTTCCATCAAAATACTGTTAAGTAAGAAAAGGATTTTATAGTATTTGTGATAACTTGGATCTCAGTGCGATAATTGGAATTATCTCCAGCAAGGACACTATGTCTCATTGTTTTATTTCCTCTTATATATCAGCTATATCTTTATTGCCTTCTTCCAGTTGAGTAAAACCACTTCCTCCCAAATCTGTGGTTTCGAGTCCATGAAAACGATATCTGTGGCTTTGATGGTCCTTTTCATCTTGAGGTTATTAATTGGGATTCAGGAAGACTGGGAAATGGTAGTCATCCAGTAAGTTCAGCAACCCTTGAAAGAAACATGAAAGACTGTCAGAAAGAAGAGAAAACAGACTCACTCTGTGCAGCTCTGGGGGGGATGGGATGCAGGCTATGGCCACTTGGGGGGGACATCCCCTGACATGCCCTTGGGGAAAACCTTCCCAGCCTGAGAGGTAGCCTGGGGGGGGTGGGGTCCCCATCACCAAGGCAACCCAAGCTAAGCCCACGGCCCTAGACAATCTGCCGGTGAAGTGGCCCATTAGCTAATGTCCCCATCTACCTGGGATTAAGTCTCCGTCTCCAAAATGACGTCATTGTGAAAATCTTCTGGAACTAGAGAGTAGTGATGGTTACACAACATTGTGACTATATTACATGCAACTGAATTATACTTTAAAATGGTTAAAATGGCGAATTTTATGTTATGTACATTAGACCACAATAAAAAAAAAAGTAGATGACCTCACTGGACAGAATGAGCTCTGTGGCTGCTTCTAGCTGTAACAAGTTATGTTTCTGAGAGGGAGCACGTGGCTTGCGGGACTGAGCCCCAGGCTCTCTTCAGTCAGACAGGCCACGTAGACTGTCAGTATCTAACTGACGGGGAATGGTTGATTGAATTATGGTTCAGGCATAATACAGAATATTACACGTCTAAGAGAAACGACGCTCATGAAAACATATTGATGCTGTGGGAAGATACTTGTGATGTCAAGTGTAAGAAGAAGGATTCAAACTACATGTAATGTGGTCCTAACTTCATAAATATAGATGAGGAATCAAAATGTTAGTGTTGTTTATTACAAATGATTTTGATTCCTTTATACATTTCTCAAAACGTCTACAAAGACCATGAATTACTATTATAATATGAAAAAAACTATTTAAAACCAAATAAATAACTGTCCTACAGTTTTGTAACCCCCAATGTGAATTATGATGTGCTTTAGAATAACGGGGTGGAAAAATGGAGTAATGGTTAAAGGAATCGACTCATAATTCTAGCTCAGCCAGAGCCAAGAGGTGCTCCACCCACTGTGCCTCAGTTTCCACATCTGGAACGGTGCATAATGTAACAGTCTGCTTCACAGAGTGTGTGAAGAGCGAGTGAGATCACGAATGTGGGACAGAGTTTTTGATTGAAGAGCTCTCTAAGCCTTTTTCATTGTCACCGAGTGCATTCAAACTGTACATTTCCAAATCTTCCCTTTAACAAAAACTTAATGAGTGCTTATAAAGTCGGTGATTGCCACTTATCCAGTAATTTAAGAGCTAATTTCCGGTAACAGTACCGCTTTTTTTCTCATCTTTCTTCCTATAACGTTAATGGGAAAACATTTCATTTCTCCTGAAAAGTACCCACCTGACTTTTATTTACAGTCTCAAGTTGAAGGAGATGATGATAAAGCCAGTTTAGCTGAAGGAAAATTGCACCACCCCCCTCCGCCAGGGAACGTGTTCTCCTCCTGAGGAATCAGGTGTCTCCTCTTTGTAGGAGGGAGCGTTTGCTTCCCCGGAACCATCCCCACTATTGCCCTTTAGAAGGGGTTTTTCTTCACGCTGCTCTGGCTCTGCCCTCTGCCTGTCCTTGCTTTGAGACCAGCGTCAAGACCCTCTCAGAAGGAACTGTAAATGGAACTTACAGGACTTTATTCATTCAGGGGGTTTCTCTTCCTAGAGGCTGGCTCCTTAGACCAGTGTGAAGAGAAGGCCATTTTGGCATAGCTGCCAAGCATGTCGTTTCTCTATTGAACCTCTTTCCCATTTAAAAGGGCTTCTGGGGTACAAAGCATGATAACCTTGATGTGTTATTGGGGCTTACCTTGCTGTTAAAAGCAAACTTGCCCAATTCAACAAATTGAATGAAACATTTCCCAAGCGCTTAATACGTGCCAGGTCCTATAGAAATAGAGTTGACTAAGATTGGTCCTTGCCTTCAATGAGCTCACACAATAAATAGTGAGGGAGGTGGCATATAAACAAATGCAGTGCAACGTGACAAGGGGAACAAAGAAGCAAATCTAGGGACAGGAGTGGGACATGGAAGAGAGCCAGAGGCATAGTCAAGGAGCCGGTTTTGAAAGTGGAAGAGAAGTATGCCAGGCAGCCAGGGTGAGAAGAAGTCCTCGTAGGTCGAGGAAAGCAGATATGAAGACCCCACGTGTGGGACTGATGGTGTGCTTGGAAGTGAGTGCACTGGGGACGAGGTCATTTGATAAAGAGAAGAGTAGAGAATGGCCTTGGTATTTAACTCAGTACCATGAGACGTGGTTCTAATTTTCCTGGATCAATCAGCCAATTGGACAGTATTTATTGGCCTTGAATAACGCACTCAAGGTTCTGTCTCAGGAAGGGGCACACAGGTGGGAAAGGGTTACACCTGGCCCCACCATCTGCTATGGGTGGGACAGGAGACAAGGAAACAAGACGAGCTACAAGTGCAGAGAGAGGCACTGACTGTGGAAGGGAGCTGGGTGTCCAGGAGCACCGAGCCTCTAGTTCCAGGCCAGGCCAGTGGGTGACAGGGTGCAGTGGGGGTCAGCAGGGAGGAACGTTCAAGGCCTTGAAGGGAATAGTGTGTCTAGGGAAGTGATAGGAAATGAAGAGGACGGAGAAGAAATCAGGAAGGGCCTTGAGTGCCAGAATGAGGAGTATAGACTTAATCACGTAGGCTCTTGGGAGTCACTAAAGAGCTGTAGCAAGCAGGCAACCCAACCGGATTTGCTTTAAAAGGGGTGCCTCGGGGGCCAGTGTGGAGGATAGATCTATGGATGGGAAAGGCTGGAGGCAAGGGGACCTGTTGCCTCAGTCCAGGCGAAAGTGGACATGCCCAGGCAGGAGAGAGTGCCGCTTGTTTCAGGAAATACTAAGGAGGTGAGACTGGCTGAGGAGGCGGAGAGAGAGGAGGAGTTGACATTTATTCCCATGCAACAGGCAGCTGGTGGTGACATTCAAGGAGATGAGGAATGCCGATTTGGGGTGAGGGGACAAGGTCGTTTCAGTCTGAGGCATGCGTGGGCTCTTCTGAGGGTCAAACAGATGATAGTTGGATATGTCTGGAGGGGAGAAGAGCAGCCCAAGCTAGAGGCAGATATTTGAGAGTTACTAGCTGCTAATTTTCTTGAATATCAGAATAACTTCAGAATAAAATATCCAGACTAGGGCATCACAACACTATGATCATTTTTTTTTTGTTCCAAATAAGAAAACAGTTAAGCCAGAAAATGTAATTGTGCCTATTCCTAGCATCGGGTAACTGATACATCTTTGCAAATTGTTCGTTGAACTCTGCCTGTGGCTTCTTGCCAGCCCTCAATGAGATTTTTATATTTCTTAATTATTCAATTACTACCCATAAGTAGGAGTTTGAAATCAAACCCAGACTGCTCCATAATAGAGTATTCTCTTGAAACACGAGTACAGTAAAGGAAGTCGTCCATATCGGGAAACCAGGATGGTGGAACGGAGGAAGCATAAGTTTCCAGTCGTGGCTCTGCCCTGGGTTCAAGTCCGGACTTTGCCACGCAGTAGTGGTGTGAGCTGGCCAGGTCAATTCTCTAAGGTCAGCTTTCTGGTCTGTATGATAAAAACAGTGATAATACCCACCTCCTGAGATCGATGTAAATCTAAGGGAAAGGAGAATATGCAAGGGAAAGTGCCCTGTTTGCTGTGGATCTGGCTCCAGATGTTGGTTCTGGCATTAATTCCTTGTGTGCTTCAGGTCTCAGCAGCTTGAGAAGCCATTAGCCACAAAGGAAGACCCCTCAGACAGTGAGCTGGCCAGCGCGGCGGACGTCAACACCAATGCCGAGGCCCACCTACCCTCCATCTGCCTCAAGCAAGTGTTCCCCAAGTACGCGAAGCAGTTCAACTACCTGCGCCTGGTGGACAGGATGGCGAACCTGTTCATCCGGTTCCTGGGAATCAAGGGGACAATGAAGTTGGGACCAACAGGCTTCCGTACCTTCATAAGGTAGGTCAGTGAGACCAGCCCCTCTGGCCTGGGATTCTGGCAGGGTGGAGTCCAGCCCCACCTCTGGCTGGTCCCATCTCCCTGACCGCTCCTGAGAGAATCTGTGGTACCGGGTCAATGCCCTGTTTGGGGTTAAGCTGACCCAGTGGCTGGCACTAGGCCTGGCACATAGCAGGTTCTGATTTGTTGAATGAATTAATGAATATTATGGAAGTGACAGCATTCACAACCTTACGCTTGTGGTTAGAAAACAATTCTGCACTACCTTGAATGAGGTCCTTAAACCACATATAAATAATTGCCCCTTGGACTCAGAATGACCTCATGCATCTTAAGCTGGGGTAATGTTCTCCCAGTGGGACGTGGCTGTGTGCTGAGCGTTTACAAGGCCACAGCAGAGAAACGAGGCACATCTTTCCAAAGTGTCAATTTCAAGAGACAAAAGTTAAATAATTCAGTCGATAAATAATTCAATACATTTGTTCTAATATAAAAATAACATGGTTATATTATAGAGTATAATACAAAATTTGCATTAATCTTAAAGATAAAACATGAGATAAAGAAATTGTGTTTTCGCTGCAGCCTACAAAATATGCCATTGCCACTCAATCTCCTGAGATCATTTGTTAACTTGCCTTTTCTCTCTGGGGCACTTTAGGGACATAGGGGAGCACTTACTAGCTGTGTGACCTTGGGTAACTTAATGACCGTCTCTGAACCTCAGTTATCCTATAAAATGGCAGTGAAACTACCTACACCCTAGGATTGTGTGCTCTACCCCTCAAAGAAACTATCTGCCAGCATCCAATGTGGCTGATGTTTTTCTCATCATCAGTCTTAATATGTCTACCCTGCACCTCAAAGTCACTCTTCCCATGGTTTTATTCACTAAAGGAAATTACTAGAAGTCTTGAATCAGAAACCATTTTTGTCATATGCTCTTCTCCAAATGAATTTTATAAATCCTAACTCTCGCCCTTGGATATACCTGATAGGACGGTAAACAGAAGCATCAGCAGGGGTTTTTGCCATGTCAGTCACCGTGAAGAGGTATTCTGCACGGTGATTTTGAGAAGGGCTTTGTGTTACTGTCGAGGAAAAAGGAAAGCCCAGGGGAAACAGCACAGACTTTGGGGTCTGGCTTCAGAGCCAAGCATGTTACTTAATAGCTGTGTGGCTTTGGGCAGATCCCTTACCTTCTCTGAGTCTCAGTTTCCTCATCTGTAAAATGGGTCTAATCTCTCCTGCCTGGCAGGGTTTTTATGAGGTTGGGATGTAATATATGATAAAGCACGTGGCCTGGTGCCTAGTTTACCGGAGCTCTTTGTTAAATGAGTCTTGTGGTTATCATTTCCATTAGGCAGTGGGAATTTTCAAGAAAGTCTACAGGCACGTGTTGTTATTTCCCTGAGAAGACTACCTGATACCCTCTGACTCGTTTAGGAATTGCATTTGACTAGTAGGAATAGACACTCATCGATAAGTGGTTTAAATAGACTAGTTTTCTCTCATGTAACAGAAAGTTTGGCAGTTGGGGTTCTGGAACCGATCAGTGACTCCACAATGTGATAACACCCCTCTTTCTGGCTTTCTGCTCATCCATCCTAACTATGTGCTTCAAGCTTCGGGGTTGCCTGATGGTCACAGGATGGCTGGTCCAAATCCAGCTATCACGGTCCCATTCCAGGCAGGAAGAAGGAAGGGAGGAGGAGCAAAAGGCCTTTGTTGGATGCTTCCTTTTCATTCCTAATGAAATTCTCCTAAAACGTAAGAGAGAGGGAGATTTGAAAACACAACTTACCATAAGAATCACAATCTCGGTGCCTCCGGGGTCATGAACAAGCTGGTGGGCCAGATCCAGAAGGGTGGGAGGGTCGAGCTGGGGCAGCCTGGAGAGCACATGCCCCAGGAAAGGGGAGGGCTGCTGCTGGTCTGCTTTCACCGGAGCCTTTGATTTTTCAAGAGAAGCTAGAAATACTGATTTTTATGTAAAATCTCAATACAGGTATATTGATGTTGGCGATTCAGAAAGTAATTTTTAAACATTGTGTGGGTTCAGTCAAAGCGTGGCTGGCTATAGAGACCAGCAGTGTGAGCCCTCCGGTATGAGAAGCCGAGGGACATATTAAGACCAGTGCTGTGTTCTCACACAACCTGGAAAACAAAGCAGAACCAAGAATGGTTCTAGCAAAGAAGATTCCTGAAACGCTCTCAGACTGGACTGGATGATGTTAAAAATATCGCTACAAATCTATCTCTGTGTGATAGGCTCTATGATTTTCCATCCCTTTGTTCTCTGTAATTAAGGAGATTTGCATGAAGAAACGATTTTTGTGATGTTAGAGACTATTAGGTCCCGCAGCCGTCATTCCCAGTCTGTGGCAGAGCACTGTTGGTGGGAGTGAAGGTGACAGGGAGGAGGGAAAGCCACGTCTCCAGGTGGGGATAGGGAGCCCCTCTGCCGTCCCTCTGCACCCGCCCAGCAGACGTCCTGAGTAATTAAGCATGCAGGAAGAAATGGAGAAAACGTCGCACAACCATTGATAGATTTTTCCTTTTAAAATATACCAAGAGATCCCAACAGCCACTTAATCGTAAAAGATGATGTTCTCTGCTTTTAGATTTCTCTCAGTATGTTCAGTCTCGCCAGCTAAATTTAACAGCAAGCGTTTTCTCTTACTAACAACTCCTCTCTCTCTCTCCTTTCCACTTCAGTTTAAATTTTGCTTCATTATGAATTAATAATATTTATGCCATATGTTAAATCGAACCAAGTGTCCTTCTCTGGAGCACGACACAAGAGACATATTTGCTGGCTCGATAGATACTCGAGCTCCCACGCAAACGGCAGAAGTGGAACTTAGCTTTTCATCTGTCCTACCCACTCCTTCTCTCCAAGTTCCTTGAAGAGAACTGGAGGGAACAAAATCATACAGATTCCGAGTGAATTTATTTTCAGTGACCATCTCTCATAATGTGCTGCATAGATCAGCAGTTTTAGGAGTGAATTATGCTAATGCCAGTCTGGACATATTCTATTTTTCTTTTCCACCAAGAAATGAGAAATAATGAACTGTCGTTTTCTTGTCTCGACTTAACTCTATCAAACCAGCTCCTCGTGTCATTTCCTCAGGAGGCCCATAATAGCAACACAGATTACCATGAATTAAGCACCTCTTTTCTGTCTTTTCTCTCTCTCTTTTTTTTTCATAATAATTGCGAGGGTGTGGAGACTTCTCTTTCATTAAGAAATAGAAATTATCTGATTCTTCAGTTTGACAGCTTTCTTTGAGGGAAATGCATTTTTGTTGTTTGCCTCCCACTGGATTACTAATTTGGGGGGCATCCTATGTAATTCACTGAGAACACGTTTTCCAAATGTATCCTACGTCCGAATTTGACATCACTGCATTTTCCTTCTCCAAAGCAGAAAATTAAACAGTTTGCCAAAACTGGGTTTCTCTCTAGGAAATGGAGGCAGCCTCTGCACCATGAGCACCTGCTTCATGGAGACCTTTCCGCTGGGAGGTCCCTGCTCGTCCCTTTGTGGTTTCTGATCCGGGTCTCCCTTTAAATTACAGAACAATTTTCTCCTTTTCCTCTTTTTCCTCTTCCCCTCCCTTTTCTCATAAGGAGATATTAATATGCTTCATAATGGGTAGCTGTGGGGGGTTTTGTTCTCCGAGAGGCAACATGGTGTGTTAGAATGTTCTGGAATAGAACTGTAAAGGGCCTTGCCTCCCCCTCTGTCATTAACTCCTCAGTGACTTTGAAAATTCCCCCTCTTCTGTGATGATCTCTTTCTAGCAATATTGCAAGAGTCTACGCCAGGGATATCAATAGCCTTTAAAAATATATACGTTATAAACTGGGGTTGTCTTCCCCCCCCCCCCACCCAGATATCAGATAGTGGGGTTTTTAAAAAAATGAGTATTGATCATTTGTTAGCTTTCTCCCGATAGGAACTTTTCCAGGAAAAATAAGCTTCTTTTCTTTCAAAGAGAAGGATGAACACAAAAGAAATTCTATAAATAGGATTTTATGGTGTGGAAAAAGTTGGTTTCTAAATTTCCCATGAGATGTCAGTGGTTGTTGAGAAAAAATGGGGATGGTAATTTCAAATCTTTCTATACTTGGGCTCCTAATGAACACGAATGATTTGTTATTCTCTCCCATCATATGTGCCCAAATTCCTTTGATTCTGGGAAGAAAAACAAACATTTCTTCAAACTGATTCTACGTCATGGAGGCAGGCTGCGAGCTGTCACTTGCTCCTTCCCCATATGTGCCGGGCACCGGGCTGGTCCTTAAAATAGCTCTGTGTGGTGAATAGCCGTATCCTCATCATACAAATAAGGAAATTTAGATGCAGAGAGCTTCAGTGACTCGCTGAAGTCACACAGCACAGTCAAGATTCAAACTCACATGCATTTGACTCCAAAGCTCATTTTTTCCACGTACATTTCCAGCCTGTCTTTTCTTAGGAATTGTTCTGGCTTCTCATGTTACTGTATTTCTTGGCCTTCTCTTCTACTAAAGAATGTATCCTTCCATTCATTAGTCATTTGAAGGACTGCATCTCAGGGCCTTAGGGGAAACTGTTCTCAGTGATGAAGAGCTGCCAAGCCTTCACGTTTTCACCCTGGACTCTGAGATCGTTTACAGCCCATGAGAGTGGTACCCAAGACCAAGTCAGCTGTGCATCACTCACTGGGCCCAGAATACCACCTACACGCAGTGGACACAAAATAAATTCCGTACTGAGTGGATGCACGCATGAAAAGTTCGTTCCAAAGTCTTGACCCTTGGAGTCATTCCCTTTTGGGGTCAATGGAGAATGTGTGGTGACCATGGGGACACGCCTGGGAGAACCTGTCTCTAAGTGACCCTGGTCGCCTTCCCCCAGCCTGATATCCCAAAGCTTCCCAATGGGCTCTCTTACTGAGCCCCACCTGAGTCTTCATATGTTGAATCCTGGGTTCTTCCTGTGGCCCTGGACTGGGCCACCTCCTCACTTCTCCCCAGAGGTCCCAAGCCCACTGCTCTATCTTCCAGGGGAGGACTGAGTATGAATCCCACCAGATGTCCCTTTCCTTGAGTCTCAGCTTACCCGTCATTGAAACAGGACTAAGAATAGCTCCCTCACAGAGTGGTTGTAAAGATTCAGAGAGCTAATGGGCAGGAAAGGGCCTGGCATGCAGATGGTGCCCAAGAAATGCCTACAGAATCAAAATCCTCTTCAAGCATTTCCTGTCTGCTGCAGCCAGCACAGCCAGGAAGGACAGCCCCCTTCCCCCATCCCGGCAGCACAGGTTGTCATCGACTGGACTTGCAGGCACTGCTAGGGACGATGAGTTACCTTGGAAAAGGGATAAATGGAGAATTCTCTTTGGTAAATTACAGTTCCTGCTAAAGGTTTGACACTTCTATTTTCTATCTGTCAGGGAAAAAAACTACATACCCGTGGTCAGTTTGGTTTCCCTTTTTGCACTCCATTAACCCACAGAGAAAGCCAGGCAGAGCTCTGGTCCTGTGGGGAAACAGGCAGTGAGGAGGACACTCATACAATAATTAGAGAAAACCCGTGGCCGTTCCTAATGAAGCTTTGGGAATGAGCCGTGCAGGTTGTTAGAATACCTTGGGAGTGACTGGAGCATCATTCCCGCAGAACCCAATAGAGATAGCCATCTCGGTGACAGGTGACGTGAAAAGCCCTGTGTCCACTGACATGTTGTTACTGGGGCTCAATAACTGTGCACTGATGTGCTTTGAAGTCTGCCACAGTGACTTGTGATTGAAATACGAGCAGGAGCCCAGGAGGAAGCAGGGTGTGAATTGATGGCCTGAGAAATGCCGGTGAGAAGGAAGGAAGGAAGGAAGAGGGAGGGAGGGAGCACCTAGGGAGCCCCAGCCTGCCCGGGCACCGTGCTGGGCACACTCCCTGCCACCATTGTTAGGGGTGTGCATGGGTACGGAGAGGGGCCTCTGGAATGCCCAAATCCTGCTTGCCAATCAACCCCTGGCCTGGCGGGTTCCTAAGGGAGCTGTTCACACAAGGGATGATGACAAGTGGGAACTCAAAGAACCACTTTATCATTAGCTGAGCCAATGGATGTGGCCATGTTTGGAAATTTGAAAGCAGCATTGAATGTAGTTCAGCAAAATGGACAGCTGGCCCAGAGGTCTAGCCTTCAGGAATCCCAGAGCAAATCCAGCCTGCAGTGGGACTCGCCTCCCAGCACAATCCCGTTCAGGAGGGTGGTGCACCTGGACAGGCCAAGGGCTGTCTCCAATCTGAACAGAGAGCCCGAGCCCTTGTGCCCAGACACTCTGCCTGGCAAGCTCCATTTCTCCAGAATAGACAGGGCCACTCACTGAAAGGTCAGCCTCAGGCGGCCTCTGATGGGGCCAAGATGGTTCTAGCTCTGGAAGAGGGAAAGGGAAGAAGAGAGAGATCAGGAAGGAAAACAACAATTGTTGTGGGTCAACCAGGTGCCAGGCACCACCCTGGGTCCTTGGCGTGTCCTGCCTCACGTCATCTTTACAACAGCCATGTGGGCAAGTTTTGCTAGCTTCATTAGAGGCTAGTAAATAAAGGCACGGAAGGCTTAAGTAAATTGCCCACAGTTACGCAGCTAGAAAAAGCAGCAGAGCCAGAATTTCAATCCCGGTCTGCCTGATGCCCAAATCATGCTCCTTCCAGTGAGCCAGATTCCCCCCCACCCCCACCCCCCGCCACAATTCTAGACCACAAAGGCACAAGTGAGGAGGAGGGAGAGGATTCTGCACACCCCTCTGTGGCTCGGACAGAAATCACCATTGCTGACATCGGAATGAAAACCTGGTTATCTTTGCCTCTCTGCCCCTAAGCCAGGGGAACATCTGAAGCTCAGAGGCCTGCCCCATCCCTCCTCCTGTCACTTCCAGGTGGCTCCCCTAAGGTCAGGAGTGAGCACAGAGGGGCATCCCCAGTGAAGCTGCCTCAGCTCACACGAAGGGGCGTGGGCCAGCCTGTGCTGTTCTGCTCTGTAAATCTTGGGCTTACTGTGGCTGATCAGGGCCTGTAAATCTTCAGGTGACAGGTTAAGCTGGGGGAAGCCCAGAAGCCTTGAGTTCCTCTCCGTAGCTTTGGCGCCAGGGACTCATCTGGTGAGCATTTCCAGGGGGATGCACTTCCGGACAGCCGTGATGCCTCAGCCTGTACAGTGACACAGCGACTGTGATAAAGACCGCCTGTCTTACAGGTGAGGAAACTGAGGCTCAACCAGGGCCGTCCAGCTTCTCAGAGGCAGAGCCAGGTTCAACTCAAGACTTGCCGCCCTAAAGTCCTTGCTCTTTCCAGCCCTTTAGACCCCTAATTAACCAAATTACAGGAGCCCACATGACCTAATCTCAACGTGTATTTGCAGCCTTCTCTCCCAAATTTCCCAGCCACATACCCTTCCCTAGTTCCAGCTGTTGGAAGGGAGGGCCTGCCAGGTGGGGAACACAGCCCAGGCCAAGGCGTGGAGGCAAGACAGAACAGGACGGGTTTGGTCCAGCAGTAACATGTCCCTTCTCATTTTGGGCAGGAACTGCAAGCTCAGCAGCAGCAGCCTGTCCATGGCCGCTGTGGACATCCTCTACATCGACATCACAAGGAGATGGAACTCCATGACCCTGGACCAGCGTGATTCAGGTACCCGATGCCTGGCCTCCACCACGCCCTGCGGGGAGTCCAGACAGGGATGGGCAGTACATTTTCTGCTCCTCCTTTTTAAGGATCAAGGTGGGGGAAGGAGGAAGGTTATCCTACCAGCTCTAGACATGGCTCAAGAGGCTGAGCTGAATTTGAATTCAGAGCACGACCCTGAATTCTGCTACCAAGGCTGTGCCCAACCACATTCTAATTCCGCCGTTAGAATCCATTGTCTTTGCTTAAGACTCTGATTCCATTTCTCCTGGGAATACTTAGTTATTCGTTTATTCATTCACCCCTCAGCACATACTGACTGAGCATATGCCGGGCCAGGCCCTGGATGGACTAGAGTGAGTAGCACTCGGTTCTCGCTCGGATGGAACTCACTGTAGATCTGGGAGGCAGATAAAAACCCGTCACTAGGGTACCGTGATGCAGGCTAGGATGGAGAGAAGCACAGAGAGGTTATCCGGGACCCCAGAGGAGGAGCTCCTAATCAAGGGAGGCCCCAGGAACACTTCTTGGAGAAGCATGAGTGGGATAAGCCTGTGTACAAGGCAGGACAGACCCCTCTGGCAGGGCTAGGCTTGTGAAAGGCTCAGGTAACCCCAAGCAACTTAGATAGGCTGACTCGGGAAGGGAAGGGAGAAGGGGCAGAGATGGGGTGTCGAGGCCTCAAATGCCACACGAAAGAGTTTGATCTTGATCCTCTAGGTAATGTGGGGCCAGTGAAGGCTTTGGTGAGAAGAACCCACCTTTGGGGGAATGAGTTTCTGATCTTTTTCCTCACAGAAGGTGCTTTTCTAAAAAGTCATAATAACCATACCTGACCTTTGTACAGCTCATCACAAAATTACAAAGTACTTTCATGCATATTCCCTTATTAAATGTGCCCGTGAACCAGTGTAGTGGGTATATTACAAGTCTCATTTCACAGATGAGTAAACTGCAGCACAGGTGACCTGGCCCCCAGGCGTCCCTCCCTGTGAAGGGGACACACAGAGGAGGGGGCACCTTGAGGAGCAGCCTTCTCCTGTGATTTGGGGAGAGGACATGAAGTCGGGGGTTGGGAGATCCAAACTAGAATTGACTGCCGTTTCCTACGATGTCAGCTTGAAAAGCCATTTTACCTCCTCTCCATTGCCTCTGGTGAACGATGCCAAAATACCTGCTCTCCAGGGGTGCCTGAGGTCTCCTGGGCCAGTGGGTAGGAAAGCCATTGGAACCCTCACAGGCCGTGCAAAGCGGTTAATCTTATTAATGGGCACCGAGTGGGGAGAATCCTGGGGTGGTCTGGTCTGTCTGACCGCAGGGTGCCCTTGCCAGATCCTGCCCCACACCTGTGATCTGCCCTGGGCTACAGCTTCCTGACCACAGGGACCAGCAGGAGGTCCCTGCAGGCAGGGCGCTCAGGCGTCATTTGCTGCTGCCGGCTGCCAGTTGTTGGGCATTTCCTGCACGCCCAGCATCCTGCCGGGCACTTTGCATGTGCAGCACTGGCTATAATTCTCCTGGAGGTAGGCTCAATGATCTCCACTGTATGGAGAAGGAAACTGAGGCTCAGAGGCATGGCCGGGGCATAAGACTCTAACACCAGGCTGCCATTGTGCCCTTCCGGGTTGCTTTATCCTCCTGATTGGTCCTGGAGTAAGATGACCACCCTATGGCTCCCCTTCCTTTAATGGGAATGCAAAACTCGAGGAATACCAATACTCCTATCACATCTCTGCAGTCGGAGCTCCCTCGCAGCCTTCCCTGGCAACTAGGAGAGGCGTGAGCTGGAGCGTCTTCAGGAGAAGTAGGCAGATTAATTATCATCTCCAGGACCGAGAGCACTCATGTGACAATTGAGCAGCGTGCTTTTTGCTGACGCCTTCAGAAAGCGAAGAAGTGTTTGTTCTGTGAGTTGAATGCCAGGAGTCATCGCAGGACCCTGTGGAGGGGGCCGGAGGAGGGGGTGGGGGTGGCAGTGGAATTATTAAATATTGAAATTGATCAGGAGTAGCAGCAGGAAGCTATTTATCATATTTTATTGCTTCAAACTAGCATTACCATCTGGCCCATTGTTAATTCTGAGTAGCTTTTCATGTTTTGTTTGCCTCTTAAATTGCTCCCTGTAAGTGGAATCCACAGGGGCTGTCCTCAGTACAGGCTCCGGTGACGCTTTCTGGGATCTGCCGGGGTCTCTCCGTTCTGCTGACCTAGCTAAGGAGATTGAGAAAAATAGTTATTTTTAGCACATCTGACAATCGAAACTGGAGATGGGAGCTTCCAGGCCTTTGCCACGCCTCAGCCCCTGAATGCATGGAGTAATAACCGTTAGTTAGTAGTAATTACAATTTTGAGATTACTTCCTGTGTGTACACATCACTGCTAGTTCTCACACCAGAACTTCGAGGTGGGTAATCGTATCCCGTTTTACAGATGAGGATCCTGAGGTTCCAAGAGCAAAAGTGACTTGTCTGAAATTCCTTAGCCAGTGAGCAGCAGAGGGCAGATTTGAACTGAAACCTCCTGTCTGCTGGACCAGACACCATCCCCAATCCAGGGCCACACCAAGCAGCGCTTGTTCCTTTGAATGACTGGGGAGGGGGCAGAGCTTGTGAGGCAGGGAGGTGAAAGGTCAACTCACAGAGCACAGGGCCTGCAGGAGGACAGAACTGGAGTGGGAGGTGGCGCCTGTCTCCCTTTCCGTCCTCCTTGTTGCTTGTACTCCTGTTTCCATGGCTCCAGAAAAGAAGGGTCTAGGGTCTAGGGGGTAGAGGTAGTGGGGGCTGGGCATTAAAGCCCGGAATGAGAAGCCTGACTGTGCCCATGGTTTCAGGGGCACCGCGGTCCCACAGCTGGTGCAAGCCAGGCCCCAGTTCTTGCTTCCTGAGGAAGCTGGTCAGATTCTCAAGGAGAAGGAGTTTCTGAAGACAGTCATGTTCTTGGGACCATTCAGGAAGCTACTGGATGGCAAAAGAAGACATTTGTGGTTGAAGGTGCTTCTTCCTTCTGGAAAGTGTCAGCAGAAAGACCAGAGAGTCCTTCCTCCTTCCCACTAGGTGCAGAGCCTGGAACCTCAGGCCCTCAGTTCCGGTTAAGTCCTGGCCAGAGGAGTGGGTGCCGTGCTGGAGTGGGGCAGCTTCACCTGTCCTAGAGCTGCTGTAGGGCTGACAAGAAAGGAGTCTGAGAGCAGTAGAACATGGGCTCTCATTCCCAAAGGGCAGGCACTCATTCACTCATTCATTCATTCAACAAACACGGAAGGAACATGTTACCACATACTGGGCCCTATGGGAATACAAAGAGAAAGTATTTACAGATCCTACTCTCAAGAAAAAAAATAGTAATGGAGACGGTTTACTGAACATTTGCTATGTGACAGAAACAAAAAATGCCTCTTATGAATTATCTCATTTAATTCTCACTCAGCCCTGTGACATAAGGGCTGTTATTCCCATTTGATAGATGAGAAACCTGAGGCTTAAAGAGGTGAGTTGAAACAGGTGCGTCAAGTGTTACAGCGGGGACCTGGGGTTTGAACCAAGAGCAGTCGGCCTTCAGAGCCCATCGCCTTTCCATTGTACTCAGTGTCTTTCCCAGGTGAAAAGGACGCACCGTTGACAACTCTAATAGGTATGGCCAGAGCTCCGATGTGGGGGCGACAAAGGAGTGGTGCTGTGAGAGATCAGAGAGAGAACACGTACAAAGCACTCAGCGAGGTGTGTGGCCCAGAAAAGGCCCTCACTGTGGGTTCTGTATCCCCAAGGGCCCGGTGCATGGCCCAGAGCCTGCCAAAGCATCTTGCTCAGTGACCAGTGAATATTTGATGAGCAGATGAATGCCAAAATAAAAAATGCCCCACATCCTCAATGCAGGGAGTTCCGAGTGTGAGAAACATCTCTTAGGAGCAGTGCTCTGGTTGGACAGGGTGTCCCTTTCCTCTCCTGAACGTCCAGCATAAAACGCCAGCCTGTTTGGATAGACCATCACCCACACGAGCTGCATCCACGTGCTCATGCACCATCCGTTTCCGGCAGCCAGCCCAGACCTTCCTTCTGCCCTAATGAGGTTTTGGTGCCCACCAAGGGGGTTCACCCAATTCCTGATGCTTGAGACCTTTATGCACCTTTATGCAACCCATATGAGGATACCCTGTTCTTGAAATAGAGAAGAAATGGTGTGTAAAAAGATGAGTAAGAAAAAAATTAAAACCAATAAGAAAAAGTATGCACATTCTGTATCAGGTCTCAGACCATCCTTTTGAATAGGCTTGTTTCCAGTTGCTTTTTTGTTGTTGTTGGGCCTCAGCTGCATAGAATTGGATTAATCATAATTCTTGGTTCATGAGACACTTCCATCCTGGTCCCTGCATAGCCTGCTTTTGTTTAGTTAGCTTTTTGAATTAGTTATTTTTAATAATGAACTAAGCATCCACAAACTCACCATCCAAAACAAAAGCTAGGACTTGACAATAACCCACATCTAACAAGAGGCTCTCCCCACACCAGCCCTTTCCCCGCCTCTCCCCACCCACAGAACCCGCATCTGCATCCTGTGCTCATCGTCCCTAAATAGGCTTGTCTTCCTCTCTGTTCGAATGTCATGGACTATTTAGGAGCTTGATGGAATTCAGTAATATGCAATCTCACACTCTCCAGCAGGCCAATGTAATTGTCATTTAAAAAAAAGGATTTCAATTTCCTATTCTAGAATTTCGAGCAGAACACAGAAATCTAAATGAGGGTGTTATCAGCAAAACTGGGGTGTGGTAGCCCTCTCCTTGCCCAGAATCAAATGAAGAAACAAATTTGTCAGTGGGGATGCGTCATTACATGTAAATTGCACTCACGGACTCCTCCTTATCATTTAGACTTTGCTCCCAACTCTTCCCAGAGTGAATTTCACTTCTCTGCGGCGAGAGACGAGGATGGCATCAAGATTAGGCAATAAAAGGCAGTATCTGGCATCATCTATGAGAGACAAACATTTCACTTGCGGAGGGAACATGTGGGCCCGGTACCAGGCATCTTGTCCATCTAACCCACCACCGACATGGGGGATGGGGGTGTGAGGAGCTTCTGAACCTCAACAGCTTTGTTCACTTCACAGCCACGTGCTTTGCTGTTTTAAGATATAAGCTAAAGGTCCCTCTGTAACCAATGGAAACATGATTGCAAAGCAAAAAAAAAATGGATTGGAGAGCCTTTCCCACCCCAATTCTCTGCCCATTTGAGCACACGTGCCTCACACATGCGTGCACGGCACAAGCGCGCGCGCACACACACACTTTGCTTGCAGAGGGAAATCTAAGAGTGGCATAATTTAATGTCTGATATATGCTGTGGACTCTTTGACCAAAATAAGGAACATTTCTTCCACTGCTTGAAGAACACCTGAGCCGTGTGCCCCCTTCCTGGGACTGCCTTCGTTTGACCAGCAGTGTAACCAAATCCCTGGGCTCTGGGATCAGACAAACCTGGCTTCGAATCTGGCTGTGTATCCTCTGCAAGTTACGTGACTTTCTCGGAACTCCATGTTCACCATCTGTAAAGTGAAGCTAATGACAGTGCCCACCTCATAAAAACATTGACATGGGTGAAGCGAGAGGAAGCAGGGGTCGCACTCAGAGCAGGGGCTGCTGTAGGAAAGGCTCAGTGAGCGGGGCTGCTGCGATTGCTACCACATTGCTCTTGCTGCGTCCCTCTCTCAGGAAACGCTTCCTGGGCACCCACTCATGCCAGGCGCTCTGCAGGTGCTGGGAACAGACAGGAAGAAGCGCCTGCCTGGAGACGCTCACAGGCTGTGAGAGGGATGGGACGCGGCGACAACAGACGTTTCCTTGGTGCCCGACCCAGCGCCGGGCGCTCCTCTCCTTTCTCTCCAAGACTCCCCTCTCTTGCCTTTAGCCTTTAGCTGTTGCTGTAAACAACCTAGTGCCTGGCTGCTCCCCTCTCCACCCTCCCTCACGCCTTTGCCTTATATAGCAATGTTGTGGGGTTTGACTGGAAAGAGGAACCCATGCGTCCGACTCAGGAAAGCACAGGCAAGTGGGCCCTGTGTGGCTGGGGAGGGCTGGGGACCTTTAGCTGGGAAGGCAGTGCTGCTGGCTCTCCAGGCCCAGCTTCTCTCCATTTCTGTTTGCCATAGTCTCTGAAGAACGACTTTCACCATTCCTTTGTAGTGTCTGCTCCCACACGGGCCAGTGCTCGCTGCCCTTGGGTGGCTGTGGTGGCCTCCAGCCCCCCCTCTGCATCACCTTTCAACTCAGAGCCAACCACCAGCTGCCTGTAGTCCTGGGGTCACGATTCCAACTCTAGGGTAGAGCCCCTGAGTGAGGGAGGGCCTCGCAGACTGGACCCCTTCTCCCGGGCAGCCAGTGCTCCCATCACAGGCCCCACACTCACTGGCTCCAGCCAGGGTGGCTGGCCACCTTGGAGGTCCTCCACCGTGGGCACTTGCCTCTGCTGGAAACCCCCTCTCATCACCCACCACGGCGCAGGCTGTCTCCTCAGGAGCCTTCCTCAGCCCTCAGGCTGGGCCCGGTCCCTCCCTCTTCCCATCAGCTCCAATAGCATCCAGCCCTGCTCCTTGACAACATGGCCAACTAAACACTGGAAGGAGGGTGTGGCATCTGCCCCTTAGCATGGACTAACCTCCACAAGCAGAGTTGTTCCCGCCTTAATGAAGCCTCGCACTGGGCCTGCTCATAGCAGGAGCCCCACGAACATATGTCGAATGGACGAGGAATCGGGACGTGACAATCTGCTGATCCCGTGGGCGTCTGAGTCTCATTACTGTCTCTCACCAAATTTCCTCAGTCGACTTATGCAAATCATCTGCCTCCTGTACTTTCATCAGCTGGAATGAGCCCCAACTGAAATGTATTTGGTTAACGATGTACTGAAATATTTAAAAGTATTTTTACTTGGAATGTTTAGCGAAGCCTCACTTATGCATATACATGGACGGCCCCCTCCCTCTGAAACATGGGTGGCCGCCCGTAACTAGGCAGGTTTCACGCCGCGCCTCGCGCGACGTGTCTGGCACAAGCAATGTTCTTCAGCCTTGAAATTATCTCGAAGTCAGATGGGCCTCTCTGGATGTGTGCCCTACACACTTACAAAATAGTCGGCGTCAGAATTATTTTTAATAAAAGCAAGGGAGCCAAGAGAAATGCCAGCTCGGCCTCTCCCTCGCACAGACACTTGTCTTCGGGG